AAAATTATTATTTTTGAACATGCACCAATTGAAACAGAAAAATCCGCCAAAATTTAGGAGCAAATTTAAAACGGCGAATTTCAGAGTTCAAAGTTAGGATTGTTTAAGGAAATGGGGCGCACTTATCCAATGAGGTTTCCGTCACTCAAATTAAGGAACCCTTGAACATCTTTTTCCTAAGTTTCTCTAACAAAATTCTCGCAAAGGAATTGACTCTTTGCAACAACCTTTCTAATCCCTATATTTTTGCAATAGAATGATGTAGATAAATTCTGTTAAATCAATGGCTTACATATTCCATTTAAGCAAAGATATAGGAATTATACAAATGGAGTTTGTGGCAAAGACTCAATTCCTTTTTTGCTAATCCAGTTGCAAGAATCTTTTGTAAATTTCTCGAGAAACATATGGCGAGAATTTTTTTAAAAACTTTTTTAACCCCACAAAGTCTCTGCAAAGCTTCGGAAATTCCTGAGTCTGAGAAATTGAGCCAATAATTAAAATTTTTTAAATATCTTTGCAACCTGAATAAACCTTTAATATTTCAAACCTATTTATTTTATCTAACAGAATTAATACTTTGAATATCTATGGTCTACACCATTGGGTTGTAAAGGTATAGGGATTAGAAAATCAGAGTTTGTGGCAAAGAATCAACTTTTTCAAAATTCCTGGTTTATTGGTGTTAAAGTAGTTAATGACGTTAAATTTTAAAAAAAGCTTATCATTTTTATTTATATACTATTTTTTCCTTACAGTAAACACATTATTGATTAATCAGAAATTACACAAAATCATTTTAAAATGTTTATCGGGATGAATTTTTATTTCATGTTTATTGAATTATGTTAGGACACAAAAATTCAACTTTAAAATCGTTCACATTGAAGGAATTTAAAGTCGAAATCAAAGTCTCATTCTTTACTTAAATTCTGTACTTAAATTCTGTACTTAAATTCTATACTTAAATTCTGTACTTAAATTCTGTACTTAAATTCTGCACTTTAATTCTGCACTTTAATTCTGTTCTTAAATTCTGTACTTAATTTCTGTACTTAAATTATGTACTTAAATTCTATACTTAAATTCTGTACTTAAATTCTGTACTTAAATTCTGTACTTAAATTCTGTTCTTAAATTCTGTACTTGAAATCTGTACTTGATTTCTGTACTTAATGTACTTAATTTCTGAACTTGAAATCTGTACTGAAATTATTGCGTAAAACATTTTCTTTGCAATCCAAAACAAAAGTCAATGTGCGAGAATTCATTAAAAACAAATAGATTCTAGTACAATAAATGGCAACGTAGAATTTGTACACTCTCAGTACAGGTGTATTCTTACGCCACCAGTGTCAACTTAGTTTTTGTGTCCGACAAAATTATTTAAAATAGTGATAATTTTAAAATAAAGTTCTTATCTTACAGTAAAGAAAGTGCAGTTCAATGTGTTCTTTATTTTCTGTTTTTGCAATTTTTAATTTAGTCTTGTGACGTAGTGTATGATTGATCGATTTCTCTGTTGCCGCCTATTGTAATCTATTTGGTAAAACTTTTTAAAAAGTCAGAACGATCAGGGGCCTAACTAGGATATTTCCGGGGGTAATGAAATGACAGCAGAGAGAACATTCAGCCATTTGTCTCCCTCCTTTAAACTAACTTAGAGCTGGTGTTTTGGTTTGTTTTTAAACAGTACAGTACAGTACAGTACAGTACAGTACAGTACAGTGCAGTACAGTACAGTACAGTACAGTAAAGTACAGTACAGTAAAGTACAGTACAGTACAGTACAGTACAGTACAGTGTAAAGTACAGTACAGTAAAGTACAGTACAGTACAGTACAGTACAGTACAGTACAGTACAGTACAGTACAGTACAGTACAGTACAGTACAGTACTGTACTGTACTGTACTGTACTGTTAGGTGGAAGTTCAGGTAACAATTAATGTTTTTATCCCCTCCAGTTCGAATTGAGTTAATCAGATTTTGCCATGGTGAACCATTTGTTCGCCTCCATATTTTTATAATAATACTTCCACTGGGCAGACGATGACAGGCTTGCACATCTTCTCTTGGTACCTTTACCTTGTATTTCTTGTTTATGATATCTGACACGTGATCAATCAATGGGCAGGATCCTAATTCTTCATCAGATTTGATGAGTGAAGGACTACTTGAATCAGACTTTGAACAGGATAAGAGCAGGGACCCTTTAGTTGACGCTGCTTGATTTCTTTTAAATAGTCAAAGTTTAAAATTTTAATGGTTTACACCATCAGGTTGTGAAATATGTGGAAATTATGAATTATATTAGTTTAAATAGTCAATGTTTGAAATATCAATGGTTTACACCATCAGATTGTGAAATATGTGGAAATATTTGAATTATATTAGTTTATATAGTCAAAGTTTGAAATAATAATGGTTTACTAGGGTTGTTAATCGTTTTTGAAAACCATCGTTTTTTGTTTCGTGTTTGAATCGTTTTTAAAAACGACCCACTCGTTTTGAACTTTTAGAAAACGAATAACGATCGTTTTTGAAAACGATCGCTTTTTTAAAAACAATTTGCGACCGTTTTTTATACGATTGTTTTTTTAAACGATTTCTTTTGAAAAAACGATCGTCTTTGTAAAACAAATGTTATTGACAATTATGCTTACGATCGTTAAGGAAAGGTTGTCGTTAACGATCGTTAACGAAACGACAAACTTTATAAAAAAACGGTTTTTATGGAAAAACTGCTTGAAATTTTCTTAAAAACTATTTAATGTTAAGTACAGATGCCCTTCAGGCTTCAGGTATCGTCGTTAACGATCGTTAACGAAGGGTCGTTGTTAATGATTGTTAACGAAGGTTTGTAGTTAACGATCGTTAACGAAGGTGCGTCATTAACAAAACAACGATCGTTTTTCAAAACGATCGTTTTAAAAACGACCATTTTTAAAAAACGAACTTTTTAAAAAATCGTTTTAAAAACGATTGTTTCGTTTTCGATTTTTCGTCGTTGTTTTATAACGAAACGATCGTTTTTCAAAAAAATTAAAACCTTAACATCCCTATACACAATCAGGTTGTAAAATATGTGGAAATATATGAATTATATTAGTTTATATAGTCAAAGTTTGAAATATCAATGGTTTACACCATCAGGTTGTGAAATATGTGGAAATATATGAGTTATATTAGCTTATATAGTCAAAGCTTGAAATATCAATGGTTTACACCATCAGGTTGTGAAATATGTGGAAATATATGAATTATATTAGCTCATATAGTCAAAGTTTGAAATATAAATGGTTTACACCATCAGGTTGTGAAATATGTGGAAATATATGAATTTTATTTTAGTTCAAAGCTTGAAATATCAATGGTTTACAACATTAGGTTGTAGAATATGTGAAAATATATGAATTATATTAGTTTATATAGTCAAAGTTTGAAATATAAATGGTTTACACCATCAGGTTGTGAAATATGTGGAAAAATATTAATTCTATTTAAGTTCAAAGTTTGAAATATCAATGGTTTACACCATCAGGTTGTGAAATATGTGGAAATATATGAATTATATTAGTTTATATAGTCAAAGTTTGAAATATAAATGGTTTACACCATCAGGTTGTAAAATATGGGAAATTATATTAATTCTATTTAAGTTCAAAGTTTGAAATATCAATGGTTTACACCATGAGGTTACAAAATAATGGGAAGGTAAACTTTTAAACCTCAAATATGATAAATGAGGCAAGAATCGTGACCAAAAAAATTTTTTTTTACATTTTTTAAGCGCATCCTGTTTATTATTTTAAAGAAAGTTTAGGTAAGTGAACTCTTAAAGGAAATAAAATGCAATTTGTGAAACAAAACAAAAGCTACGTTATTTTACAATCATGCACTTGAAATAATAATTATATAAATTCCTCTGATTTGGGATAGACTTATAATTGCCGCAAATTGTTTCAAAGATGAAAGACGATCTTCTAGTTGTCTCTAGCTATGTATATATATTCTAATATTGACTTTTTTACAAAGCCAATAAAAAGTTTAAATTTGCAAAAACAAATACAATAAAATGTTTTATTTCATCTTAAATTTATTTATAGTTGTAATCATTAAACAGAACAATATATATATACATAAATGAATAAATAGTTAAATATTTGTGAATATTAAGAAAATTATCTAAAACTTCAATCAGGGTTAGATATGAACAAAAATTATTAATTAAAATACTGTTAGAGAAGAATAAAAATCTTATTCTTAATATGTCATATTGAATATTAAAAAGATTTGGAAATCAAGAAAAAAGTTAGAATTAAAAAATTAATGTCAGGGATGTTTCTCAGATGTTTGGAAATTAATTAATTAATTTCAGTGATGTTTCTCAAATGTTTGGAAAATTAATTAATTAATTTCAGTGATGTTTCTTAAATGTTTGGAAAATTAATTAATTAATTTCAGTGATTTTTCTCAAATGTTTGGAAAAATTAATTTCAGTGATGTTTCTCAAATGTTTGAAAAATTAATTAATTAATTTCAGTGATGTTTCTCAAATGTTTGGAAAAATTAGCTTCAGTGATGTTTCTCAAATGTTTGGGAAATTAATTAATAAATTTCAGTGATGTTTCTTAAATGTTTGGAAAAATTTAGAATTTTCTTAAATTTGGTTTCATAAACATGAAAATGCTCTTTAATAAATATTCTTTTACAAAACCAAATGTTTGCCAAAATTTGAATCATTTTCTGTTTTGCTATAAAAAAGAGTTTATCAAGGGCGTATACAGGGGGGAAAAATGTCGATTTTTTAGAAACAATGTTTTTTTCTGCTAGTTTTGTTTGAAGGAGAGATAAAGTAGTGCTTAGAAGGTTATTATTTGGACTGTATGTGTGCCTTTTAAATATCTTATACTTATGCCTGATATCCAAGAAGCCAAGTGTTATGAATTTACAGTTCGAATTTTGCCCCCCCCTAGGAGCTCCTAGGGGGGGGCAAAAAAAATTTTTTCGCTTCGCGCAAATCTTGCCCCCCCCTAGATTTATTTCTGTATACGCCCTTGGAGTTTATGCAAAACTATCGGATTAAAATTGAAAAAGAAGATATAATAATGATTTTTTTTTCTTCTTTCTTTTATTTTTTTTACAAAAAGGTTTGTTTATAAAGTTCTTTATACCAGGAAGGCGTGTCCTGAAAAAAATTTGATCTAACAAAATACATAGTTATCTAAGGTCTATGTCATCATGTTGCATAGATTTAGAGATTAGAAAATTAGAGTTTTTGACAAAGACTAAAATTTTTTTACTTTTTTAAAGGTGACAAAAAACGCATTTATATGGACTTTTTAGTCCCATTAGGATTGAAAGAAAAGAATCTGTCTCTAAAATGGGTAAATTTCTACGATTTTTCCAGACCTCAATTATGGCAATGAAAGTCAAATTTTATTTATCTAAAAAGACATTACCTCGCTATATAATTTATACCCGTAATCAACTGTTATTTCTTCCCCTGTCTAATAATTAATATCCATTTATTAAAATAATTTATTCTAATTAATTTGTTTTTATGTTCTTAAAATTTTATATATGGCTGAGACATTTTGCATGTTAACAAATAATAAAGAATTATCAAATAACAAAATAAAAATATAAAATTTTATAAAACAAACAAATTTTTTTTACCTTTATTGAACGTCGGCTGAAGAGACCTCTAACACTAAAAAAACAAAATAATTAAATCGCTTTTTTATTGTAAGTGTATCTAAATACTATTAAATAAAGTTATAAAATGTATATTGTAATTATTTAGATATTGTATGAAGATTAAGTAAACGAATTTGCAGAGTCAAGATTTTTTAATTTATTAAACTTTTAAAATTTGATTTAGATCATATTCAAACATTATTTCAAAAATGAAAGGTACGTCGCAATGTTACTTTTAAACTTTGTGATCTAAAGCTATCGTTAGAAAAAACAGTTTTTTAAATGCTGCACAGTAAAGAGGCAATTTTAATGTTTGCTGTTCAATGTTTTTTGATAAATTGTTAGTAGAAACTTTAAAATTTCTAACTACTAACGGCACTTTGAAATAATAAATATTTTGTTCCCAGAAATTTCAGATAACTACCTGCCAAACCTAGATATCTGACAAGTTGACCTGCTTGCCAAACCTAGGATATCTGACAAGTTGACCTACCTGCCAAACCTGAATATCTGACAAGTTGACCTACCTGCCAAACCTAGGATATCTGACAAGTTGACCTACCTGCCAAACCTGAATATCTGACAAGTTGACCTACCTGCCAAACCTGGATATCTGACAAGTTGACCTGTCTTGCAAACCTGGATATCTGACAAGTTGACCTACCTGCCAAACCTGGATATCTGACAAGTTGACCTTCCTGCCAAACCTGGATATCTGACAAGTTGACCTGTCTACCAAACCTGGATATCTGACAAGTTGACCTACCTGGAAAACCTGGATATCTGACAAGTTTCCCTGCCTACCAAACCTTGATATCTGACAAGTTGACCTACCTAGAAAACCTGGATAGCTGAAAAGTTGACCTACTTACCAAACCTAGGATATCTGACAAGTTGAACTACCTGCCAAACCTGAATATCTCACAAGTTGACCTACCTGCCAAACTTAGGATATCTGACAAGTTGACCTGCCTTCCAAACCTGGATATCTGACAAGCTGACCTACCTGGCAAACCTGGATATCTGACAAGTTGACCTACCTGCCAAACCTGGATATCTGACAAGTTGACCTACCTGCCAAATCTGGATATCTGACAAGTTGACCTTCCTGCCAAACCTGGATATTTGACAAGTTGACCTACCTGTCAAACCTGGATATCTGACAAGTTGACCTACCTGCCAAACCTGGATATCTGACAAGTTGACCTGCCTGCCAAACCTGGATATCTGACAAGTTTCCCTGTCTACCAAACCTAGGATATCTGACAAGTTGACCTACCTGCCAAACCTGGATATCTGACAAGTTGACCTACCTGCCAAACCTGGATATCTGACAAGTTGACCTATCGACCTGGATATCTGACAAGTTGACCTGCCTGCCAAACCTGGATATCTGACAAGTTGACCTGTCTACCAAACCTGGATATCTGAAAAGTTGACCTACCTGCCAAACCTGAATATCTGACAAGTTGACCTACCTAGAAAACCTGGATAGCTGAAAAGTTGACCTACTTACCAAACCTAGGATATCTGACAAGTTGAACTACCTGCCAAACCTGAATATCTCACAAGTTGACCTTCCTGCCAAACCTGGATATTTGACAAGTTGACCTACCTGTCAAACCTGGATATCTGACAAGTTGACCTACCTGCCAAACCTGGATATCTGACAAGTTGACCTACCTGCCAAACCTGGATATCTGACAAGT